AACCGAGAGCATTTCACCCCTGCCTTGGGGAGGGGAAACAGGGTCAGGGCCCAGGTGCGAATTAAGTGAGCTCAGAGTTGGCTTCCCTTGGTCCGTGCCTACCTGAAGCTCCTAATCAACACCTGGATTTCTTCTGAAGCTCCGCTCGAGGCTCACGATTTAATTAGGGCATCGGTCGGAACCCTGACAGCCTCCCTGAGCCCCATCGTCCACTTCCCAGCTAGCATGAATTACCTTGGTTAAACCAGATGAAAAAGCCAAGGAAGCCGGCACTTTTCAGACTCCTTGCCGGCCTTTGCCAGACAAACTAATTCAAATCAAATCACAAAATGCACAAAAGAAGCCTCTAAATTCCAAAACGCTGCAGAAGAAACTGCCTCCAAATCCCCGTCCTGACCGAACCGAGAATCGAAGGCTGTGGTGGCTTCCGCCTCCATTCAAGCTTCTTTTTGAGCTGCTGGCTTCCCTCTTCCTTCTTCCTCGGATCCTCCCAGCTGAGGACCCAGCGGATCTCTTCCCTGAGATTGGCAAGATCCTGCTGATCTTGCACAGAATCCAAAGGATTCCCCCTCCTTTGATCTAGAAATTAGAAATCCTTCTGGGTTAAATACCAGGCAGGTAGGAGTTCATATAGAGGATCTCCCTTAGTTTCCCCTAATGAATATAGTACAGGTAAGTCCTTGACTGACAGGAATTCTTTTAGTGACCATTCAAAGTTACAACGGCGTCACTGAAAAAAGGTGACTTATGACCATTTTTTACACTTTCGACCTTTCTAGCATCCCTTTTGATCGCTTGATCAGAATTCAGCCACTTGGCAAATGGTTCGGACTTATGACCGTCGCTGTGTCCCAAGGTCACGGGACCCCCCTCTTGCAACTTTTCCACAAGCAAAATCAAGGGGGAAGCCAGATTCACTTAACAACCATGATACAAACTTCACAACTGCTGTGATTCACTTAACGACTGTGGTGAGAAAGGTCGTAAAATGGGACAAAATTAACAAGTATCTTTCCTAACAACAGAAATTTGAGGTTCAATTGTGGTCGTAAGTCAAGGACTACCTGTAACTCCTTTTTCATGCAATGTCCTGGTGTCTGATCTTTGTCTCATCCCAGCTATGAACTCAGCCGAAAGTCTCCTCTGATATCCACCGTTTCCCTCGTCTCCTGATAACCCCATTCCTTCCTTCACCCTCCGTTGTGGCTGACATAGTCAATGGGGAGGGGGGGATCTGGCAGCCCCTCTTAGTTCCTCAAACTGATCTCCCCCCCCCCATGGATGCTTTCCTCCCAAGGTCCTCCTGGCTGGAGGGGCAGAGAGGAGCCGAGGCCTGGCTTTTCCAGGGGGGTCTGTGGATGGGAGCCTCCCCGGTGCTTCCTAAACCCCTTGAGAAGCTCCTGTTCAATGTAGGCTTCCTGGCCATGAAAAAGAGCATGGAGTGAGTTAGTTCAAGGCCAGTTTGACCTTCCTTTGAAGGACTCTTGGAATCTTGTGCTGCACAATTTATATCAGGAAGGGAAGTTGGGTTCTGCCAGCCGTAGGTTTCTGATTCGGCCATTACTAAGTGAATTACAGGGTGTTTTTTTATGCTTCAGATGATAATGAGTCTCTTTAGAGCCAGACTTTTACTGTTTTTACTACTTTTATTCGTTTTTCAACACTGCACAGTTGCCCTGCCTGGTTGATGCTCTCAGGACAAACTGTATAAAATATACACCATCCTCATTCAGATACTGTTAAGTCTGCTGTTCTCTATAACCTTCACACAGATCATAAGATTTCTACTGTCCATCATACGAGTCAAATGGACAGAAACAGAAGCAATCTGGGCGCCAGGTGCTGAATTCTGTGCAGCCTCCCTCCCCCCACCTGCTGTAAAGTAAGACATCCCCCCAAAATAAGACTTAATATCCATTTTTTTATACTTAAAATGGTCACGAGGGCACAGAGCCGGTTGTTAAATTATTTGAATCTCACACCTGCTGGATTTTGTTGAACTCTTTTCCGTTGTTGGGTGGGGCCATGCAGGCTATAAAAGCTTGGGTGGATCAGAGAGACAGAGAGATGGACCCAAATGAGCTGCTGTGACCATCCCTTGACAGACCCCAGAACGTCCTTAGAGACCATGGAAAGTGACCTTGTTTGTCCTTGGGGTCTATGCATTGGTTGGCCTCTGCGTTTTCTTCCACCAGTGCAGGTAAGTTGCTCCTGATCAGGGGAGTGGCCTCACCACAACCTGGGGAGCCCTGGGGCACTGAAAGCCTCCCAAAATGTTGGTGGGACTAACAGGAGAAAGGATAGAGTCCCTCAGGGGTGGAAGGGACCTTGGAGGTCTTCTAGTCCAACCCCCAACCTTTCCTTGAAAATCTCCACTAATGGGGCTCCCATTAAGAATAGGTTTATTATCCTTGTTAAGAAAAGAATGTACCAGTCAGTGATATTTTATTCTTTTTTTCTTCTTCAATCCCCAGGAAAAGGTGTCTGCAAGTGTCACCAGAGCAATGAAGTGAAGATGTGGAGGCCGCCATCATCACGGTAGAACCCTACATACCGGAACCCATCAACCCCAACCTCACCATCATTGATGAACGAAGGAGGATGTCAGACGTTCTACCTTGCACAAGATGGAAGAGATGCCAACCATCGCATTGTTGACCAGGGCTGAATATCTGACATCGTCTTTCATCAATTATGGTGATGTGGGAATTATTGTTTTTTTCTTCAATTCCCATAAAAAGGTGTTTGCAAGTGTCACCAGAGCAACCAACTAAGGATGTTGAGTCGGCCTCCATCACAGTGGAACCCTACATACCGGAACCCATCAACCCCAACATCACCATCATTGATGAACGAAGAAGGATGTCAGACGTTCTACCTTGCTCAACAATATGATGGTTGGAAAGTGTTTGAACTAATTTGGTTATCAGGTTTTTTCCATTATGATGATATTATTGTTATTTAATTCTTGGATGGATTCCATTCAAGAGACGGAAAAACCCAGGTGACTGCAGTCAGTGGACAACTTGGAGGCGGGAAGAAGTGAGTGGACCAAGGACTTGTCCACAAGAAGAGTCCTAGCTGAAGGGAGAGGATTTGGGGTCTCTTGAGGTCACCTGGTGTCCTTGGTTGCGCTGCATTTCCTGCTTTGGATTTTTGGGTGGGGATGGCTGGCCTTGGAAGCTAAAAAGAAAGAAGAGTGGGAGCCTGGTACTTTTAAATACTAACTAGGTTGCTAAGTTTTATTTATTTATTGCTTCTTGCTTATTTATTATTTTATTATTAAAATATTAAATTGGTGCTTTTTTTGCCCCATGATGAATAACTGCCATCAGTGAAATCCCAAAACAATTGGAGCCCCATTTCGACACCCATGGCATTGACAACCTCACCATTGGTCAATTGCCAAAGGCCGCTTTCCTTGGAAGAGCTGACATCCAATCTGGCTGACGGTGTGAAGAACCACAATCCCCCTGTGAGGCAGGACCTTGACGTGGTTGTGGGGCTTGTGTGCTCAGAGGAAGATGAGGGCTACACCTGAGGTTCAACCATACTGGAGAGGACTCATGAGAGGAACTGGACAAAGAATGCCTCTCCCATAAACAATAGGGAAAAACACACATGACAGAAACCAGGTGGGCTCTCCAGTTGCCCAGGTCAGGAAGGACCATGCCAGGGGTTCAAATTCCTGGACATCTGGTGGAAAATGACCTGCAGGACTCAGGACTGCTGGCTGAGCATCCAGGGGTGGCAGCTGCTGAACCACTGGAAGGAAAGTGTTTTTCCGACTCCCCCCAAGATGGCAGCCAGACTCAGCAGGGGTTTTTTCCCTGTTCCTGGTTTCCTCATCTGAACTGGTTCTTTTCTCCCCTTTTATCTTTTTATGCACTTTTTAATCTAGTTTTATTTAGCTTTGGGGGCTTGTCTGTCATTCCCCCCCCCATTTTTTGGAGGTTTTGAATGAAATGAAAAATAGATTTGAAAAAAAGAAATGATATGAGAAAAAGTACAAATGAAATCTTAATGAAAGATTCACATTGTAGCTGCCATTCGTTTGTTCTTATATAAAATAGGAGAGCTTGTTAAGTCCTCCTGCTAAAATTATTTATTTTTCTACTGGATTTTACTTATGCACTCTATTAGGAAATCATAGATATTGTTCTAAAAACTGGGTGGTATTTTTAAAACAACATCAAAGTAGCTTTGTCTAAGAGTCGATATAAATGTTGCATCCTGAAAAAATCCTATTTCTTCAACTATCCCGCCTGTATTAATGACAATATAGAAGAATAGATGGAGAAGATGCTGCACAGGGAATGATCAGATAAGGGGGGAGGGAGCTCCCAGGTGCATAATTGGCAGAGAAAGAACCTCAGAAAGGACCCTCCCTCATTTTTCAGGCTTTCAAAAGCTTTGGTGGGAGATTTGTACTTTCAGACATGCAAGGTTCTCTTATGTGCCCTTCCAATAAAGTAGAGTTACATCATGTTTCTCATCTGGTGTACCTGGGAGAAGAAGCGGGGGGGCTTGATACCTAGTGTGCCAGGTGAGTCTGGCCAGAGCCGGATCTGGGAGGTCTGATGTGGCTGCTGCAGACTGTGCTTCTGCTTGTTTTCTCTCATAGTCCGACTTTCTCAGTTGGCTGTAATGGCTTTTCTCCACATGGTAATTGTGGTCCATCTCAGCCAGTTCATGCTGTAGACTCTGGAGGAATTTCTTACCTTCTGGCGGAAGGTTCCTCACCTCTTCGAGGTCTTTCTCAGAGTCACCTTCTCTCGGCTGAGATGGACAATTGGCTAGTTCTTTGTGGAGTTCTTCAATGTATTTCATCAAAGATGTGTTCTCTAGCTCTAACTGATGACATGATCTTCTGCAGGTTTTCTGCAGGTCTTCTGTTGTGGTCTTAAGTTAATCCACTTTCTCCTGGAGACAGCTGTGCTGATCTTTCATCCATTGATTTTCTTTCTGGAATTTCTGGGACTGAAAGTCAAAGGAGTCTCTCAGTTCATCAACCTGGAGGTTGGGACCATCAGTGGTCACTGAGAGATCGCCCAAGGATATTGACCATTTCTTCCTTGTTGCTCACCTGTTTGAAAAATGGAGAGACACAGTCACATCCTCTCTCCGTTCAGGGCCAATTTTGCTAACCTGCCTTCTCCATTCTGACTTTTTCCTAAAGTTTTGGAGTCCATCATCTTCTGCTAGAATGAGATGCAGGAGGAGTGAAGAACCAATGAACAATCTGCAGAGGGGTCTCCTGCCAAAGGATCCTTTAGATATAATTTACCCAGATCAGTTCTCAGCTACAAAGCACCAGGTTCAAAATATCATATTTGAGGGCACATCAAGTGAAAACCAGCTCTCTGGAGACGTTCCTAATGCTGGGAAAGGTGGAAGGGAAGAGAAGGAGGGGACAATTTGGGGTAAGGTTAGTGGATTTGATTATTGTGTGGATGGGTGAACTTTAGGGAGACCTGAAAATCCAGACTGGGGACAAGTCATCCATCTACCTCTTTGGCCACTCAGAATCCACACAGTTTCAATGCTGTCAATCAATGCAGACAAAGCTCCCTGGAGAAGTCGGTAATGCTGACGTGGGTGAAGGAAAGAAAAGAAGGGAAGGATCACTAGTAAGCAGCTATAGTGGGGATGGGGGAAGGTTGGGAGACCCGAAGGACCAGGTTGGGGCAGATCTACATGGAGAAAATCATCTATGGGCTGCTAGGCATCAGCATCAACATCAACTTGATGACATAGAATTAATCCATCAATCAGTCAATCAATCAGGCAGGCAGTTGACTTACAAGGTCCCTTTCAGCTGTAGGCTTCTATTGACTACTTCCTTTTCATTGTCACCTTAATCTGCAAATAGGGAATAGATGAGGGTTAACACAATCAAATTACAATAGCCTACATCAGTCATTAAATTACACGACAACAACTTTGTGTAAAAACCTTTAACGGATGGATGGTCTTCAGCTCCCAGAATTCTGCATGCTGGCTGGCTGGAGAATTCTGGGAGTTGAAGTCTCCCCCCATACCTTAAAGGGGCCTAGTTCAAGAAACACCAACAGAATCCCTCAATACTGATCTCTCTTCAAATTCTTCTGGCTTCCCATTTGATTCCGAGTCACTCTCAAGGCATGTCATTGCTCAAAACCCTCCAAAGGAGTTGGCTCTCCATCAATTTGGACGTCTTTGTATTGCTATGATTTCTGATAACAGGAAAAGGTGATGACCATTGGAATTAAGACAGATCCCCCGCAAGTACTTACGAGTCCCATCTCAGCCACGAAAGACAGGTGGGTGACCTGCAACCAGTCTCTCTCTCAGCCTTCACAAGGTTGTTTTTGTGGGATGAAGGAATCTTAGATAGGTTCACTGCCTTGGGCTATTTAGAGAAATAATAAAGGTGGTATAAAAGCCTATGTAATAAAAAATGAAAATAAATGAATACTTCAGTTGCCTTAAAGGGGAGGGTCTCTCCCTCCTGAGGAGCCCAGGCGAGGGAGGCCCTGCGATGCCCCCAGTGCTGCCATCCAATCCAGCCACTTTCCAGGGATGTTGAGCAGAGCCTCCATTATGTGGTCCAGACTCCCCAAGGATGCTGGCGGTTGCCATGGTGAGCTCCAGCCAATGAGCTCAGGAGGAGCCTCTGACGTCACAAGCCAAGGCTCTGATTGGCCTGGACCTGAGATTTGAAAAATGACCACCAAATGGCTGCCTTCACCTGGGGGCAGGTGGATGAGCCAATCCAGAAGGGGCTTTGAATTCCCTTCAGCCACAGCGGCTCCTTCTGAGGGGGGAACCGTTGGTCGCCTGGAGAGGTCGGGGAGCCCCAGATTCTGCCCCTTCTGTGGGGATGGAGCCCAGATTGAAATGTCGCCCCTTGGATCTGGAATGAAAGCTCCAGAGAGTCCAGATTTTCCTCTCCAGGCCCAGAGGATGAAGGGGAGCTGAGAGGGAAACACCACAAAAGATTAAATATTATTCGTATCCAAAAGGCCTTGTGAAAATGTACCTAAAGGAACACAGGGGTCTTTGCCAGCTTTAGGTGTCCTCCTCGCTGCCTGCAGAGGCCAAGTATGGCTTAAAAGGCCAGAGTATAGGCTGCCCCCTATAGGCAGTGAGAGGGACCACTAAATCATGGAAGGACCCGGTGGAGGAAGGACCCTGAGTGCTGACTGGAATTCTGGGAGTTGAAGTCCACACCTCTTCAGGTTGCTAAGGCTGAGAAAGACGCTCTAGTAAACCCTTCACTGGGCAGTTGGACGGATGACCTCTGAGGTCTCTTTCGACTCCATTTGTCCATTATTCTAACTCTTCGTCTCTTTACGGAGGGCAAAAGAATCCTCTCCAAAAAGGGACTTGGGCGACAAAATGGAGGATGCGGGGTCTTTTCCAGCTTTAGCTGTCGCTCTCAGTGCCTGTGGAGGCCAGGTGTGGCTTAAAGGCCAGAGTATAGACTGCCCCCTACAGGCAGTGAGAGGGACAGCTAAAGCGCAGCCTCCTCCATTTTGTGGCGGGAACCTCTAGTAGAAAGAAGGAAAGGAGGAAACTGGATGTAGCTAGAATTCTCTTCATGGCTTTTTTCATCCCTTTTCAGATTCTGTTCTGTGTGTGGAACTTAATCTCTTCTTTGGCTCCTTGAATAAAGCCCATCTTGGTTGAAGCCCCGGAGTTTCCTCAGGGCCTCCCTGTCTCCCCCTCAGGCCGGCTGAGCCCCTGAGTCCCAAGGCCAGAGCTTCTCCCCTCAGATCCCATCCTGGCTCCCCAGAATTAGAATATTATGAATTACCCCCATTGAAGCAAATAGCGCTGCTGTTTTCAGATGCACAAAAGGCATGTGATAATGGGAATTATGGAAATTTTTTATAAAACAGTTGAAAATGATGGATTTTGGCAGCGCCATGCACTGGCCGGGGAACGACTGTCTCGCCATGGAACGGGCCAGTACTTAGTTGTCCTCCGTTAAGAACATGGAGGGGGGGCATGTTTGGGGATGTGCATGCGCAGTGTGGGGCGCATGTGCAGGGGAGCATGGGGGGGTGTCCTGTGTGCATGCGCAAATGGGGGCACGCATTGCATTATGGGAGCGCAAGAGTGCTCCCGCGCTCAGACTTTTAATAATAATAAATAATAATAATTTTATTTCTATACCGCCCTTCTCCCGAAGGACTCAGGGCGGTGTACAGCCTGTTTAAAAACACAAACAAAACAACAATATAAAATTTAAAATAATTAAATAAAGTGGCTCAGATTTAAAACCCCAATAAATTTAAATATCCCAATTTAAAAACTATTGTGTTGCTAGTCCGGCCTGGCGGAATAATAGGGTCTTCAGTGCGCAGCGAAACGCCCGGAGGTCGGAGATCTTACAAATTTCTGGGGGCAGTTCGTTCCACAGGGCTGGGGCTCCCACAGAGAAGGCCCTCCCCCTGGGCGCCGCCAGTCGACATAACTTGGTTGACGGCACCCTGAGGAGACCCTCTCTGTGGGAACGGACTGGTCGGTGGGAGGCTATTGGTGGCAGAAGACGGTCTCGGAGGTACCCGGGTCCTATGCCATGGAGTGCTTTAAAGGTGGTAACTAACACCTTGAATCGCACCCGGAAGACCACTGGGAGCCAGTGCAGCTCGCGCAGGAGGGGTGTCACATGGGCACAACGAGTTGCGCCCATAACCACCCGCGCGGCCGCATTCTGGAACAGTTGGAGCCTCCGAGTGCTCTTCAAGGGGAGCCCCATGTAGAGAGCATTACAATAGTCCAACCGGGAAGTAACAAGGGCATGAGTGACCGTGCGTAGGGCGTCCCGATCCAGAAAGGGCTGCAACTGGTGAATCAGGCGAACCTGATAAAAGGCCCCCCTGGCCACGGCCGTCATATGCTCTTCTAAAGACAGCCGTGCATCCAGAAGGACACCCAGATTGCGAGCCCTCTCTGTGGGGGGCAGAGATTCACCCCCAATAGTTAGCGATGGCACCTGCTGACTATATCGGGGCGCCGGAAGCCACAGCCACTCGGTCTTGGAGGGGTTGAGTCTGAGCAAGTTCTTCCCCATCCAGACCCGCACGGCCTCCAGGCAGCGAGACATCACATCAAGGGCATCGTTGGGGTGGTCTGGGGTGGAGATGTACAGCTGAGTATCATCAGCGTACAGATGGCACTTCACCCCAAACCCACGGATGATCTCACCCAGCGGCTTCACATAAATATTGAACAGGAGGGGCGAGAGGACTGACCCTTGCGGCACCCCCCATGTGAGACGCCTCGAGGTCGACCTCTGTCCCCCTGCCAACACAAACTGCGAGCGGTCGGAGAGGAAGGAGGAGAACCACCGCAAAACGGTGCCCCCTATTCCTAACCCCCTCAACCGCTGCAGCATGATACCATGGTCGATGGTATCAAAAGCCACTGAGAGATCTAATAGGACTAGGACAGAGGAGCAACCCCTGTCCCAAGCCCTCCAGAGATCATCCACCAACGCGACCAATGCCGTTTCTGTGCTGTACCCCCGCCTGAAGCCCGACTGGTACGGGTCTAGATAGATAGCTTCATCCAGGTGTCGGGAAAGTTGTCGTGCCACCACGCTCTCAACAACCTTCGCCACAAAACGAAGGTTGGAGACTGGACGATAGTTAGCTAATTCAGCCGGGTCCAGGGAAGGCTTCTTGAGGAGGGGCCTCACCACCGCCTCTTTCAAGGCGGCAGGAAAGGCACCCTCACTCAGAGAAGCACCTATAATCCCCTGGAGCCAGCCTCGTGTAACCTCCCGGGAGGCCAGTACCAACCAGGAGGGGCACGGGTCCAATAAACACGTGGCGGCACTAATCTTACCCAGAACTCTGTCCACATCCTCGAGAGTCACAGGATCAAACTCCTCCCAGATAACATTCTCAAGACCTGCCCCGGTCTCCTCCCGTGGACTCATCCAATCGGAGTTCAAGCCATCCCGAATCCGAGCGACTTTATCATGCAGGAATTGCACAAAATCCTCAGCACAACCCTGCAAGGGATCTTCCCGTACTCCCCCCCAAAGAAGGGAGTGGGTCACCCTAAACAGGGCAGCTGGGCGGTTCTCTGCAGATGCAATAAGAGCGGAAAAATGGTTAGATTTTGCCGCTTTTATCGCCACTAGGTAGGTCTTGATATAAGACCTCACCTGTGTCTGGTCAGAATCGGATTGACTAGTCCTCCAAATGCTCTCTAGGCGTCTTTTCCGACGCTTCATCTCTCTCAGCTCCTCAGAGAACCAAGGAGCTAATTGAGATCGGCATCGAGTCAGAGGCCGCAAAGGCACGACGCGGTCCAAAGCTCCAGCGGCCGCCCTTTCCCAGGCGGCCACCAGTTCTTCAGTCGAGTCGTGTGTTAGAGTCTCAGGAAACGGCCCAAGCTCCGTCAGGAACCTTTCGGGATCCATCAGGCGCCTGGGACGGAACCATCTGGTTGGTTCCGTCTCCCTGCGGTGGGGGAAATCGGTAGGAAAGTCTAAGTGAAGGAGCGAATGATCTGTCCATGACAAGGGTTTGATGTCTAGGTCCCCTCTACCAAGATCATTCAACCACTGACCAGAGATAAAAATCAGGTCCAGAGTGTGTCCCCCTATGTGAGTGGGGTCTTGAACTAACTGGGTCAGGTCCAAGGCCGTCATGGAAGCCATGAACTCCCGAGCCACCTCTGACGCCCCACCTGTGGATGGGAGGTCGAAATCCCCCATGACAATAAGTCTGGGGGTATCGACCGCCACCCCGGCAATGACGTCGAGTAGCTCGTGCAGGGTTGCTGCCACGTGGCAGGGAGCCAGGTACGTAGTCAGCAGACCCATCTGCACCCCACGGCCCCACTTCACACAAAGGGACTCACATCTGGCTATCTGAGGAACAGTGGTTTCCCTCGGATAAAGACTCTCCCTAATGATCACCGCCACTCCCCCACCCCTCCCCTGGGCCCTTGGCTGATGAAATGCACGGAAACCTGGCGGGCACATCTCTACGAGGGGGACCCCCCCTCTTGGCCCAACCAGGTCTCCGTAATACCTGCCAGGTCTGCACCCCCCTCCGAAATAAGATCACAGATGAGGGAGGCCTTATTAACCACTGACCTGGCATTACATAACATCAGCCGCAGACCCTGGGCATGAGGCTCTACACAACCCAGGACACGAGTCACGCATTGGGGGCCGGAGTGCGCAATCGCTCGGAGACAGCGTGTGCGCACCCCCGACACTTGATATGACCCCCTGCGCCCGTCATACCTGCCCCTCCCACTCATGATTTCAATTACACAGCCCTTTCTATCGTCCCCCTGCCCCCCGGTTAAATTTCCTTTCGTGACCCCTCTGCTGCAGCTAATTAACCCATCATCCCGTGCAGTCGCTATCTGGACCCCCCCAGGTCCACTTTTACAACCCCCTCCCTCCCTCCCGGGTCCCCTTAAAATTTTCCTTAAAAATTTAGCTAAAAAACCCCTCAGCCCCCTCTTTGCTGCATGCCATCTCTCGGGGTCCCAAAGCCCGTCATCAAGATAGGCCCTCGATAACGTGGAGGGCCAGGCCTGCGAGAGGGGGGAGTCTCGCAGCGCAAGAAGGTCGGTTTTTTGGAGCATCAACCGAACCAAAGATGGGAAAAGAAAAGCCAGTCCGGGAATCTGTCATAGTCCAAGGGATAACTGAGCATAAAGGTCACAAAATATCCATTTATAGGGCTGGACTCCACTGTCCTCTCACGACAGGGAGAAGGTCCAAAGTTCTTTTTCTCCAACAGAGGCTAATGGCCAACCATCCTCTCACGACGGCCGGTCCCGTTACAAAGTTAATGGGAGCAAAGTTCTATCCTCTCCGTTGGGATGTGGAAAATCCCTCAGCTCTCTCAAATGGTGCACAGTCTCTCCTAGCAGTGAGGGCGTGAGTGGAGCATAATAAGGGGTCCAAAGTGTCCAAAGTGTAGATGTTAATAACGATGGTAATAATAAAGATGTTAATAAAGATGATAATAGACCCATGGGCACAAGATCTTCTTTGAGGTGAGAGTAGGAGTAGCAAGACAGGAAAGTCCAATCCAGGGGTGGTTGGCCATTGAGGCCAACACCCACCCATACCTGGGGGAAAGGGGGGGGAGGAGAGGCCACCCGAGGCGACCAACCAACCAAACCATGGTCAGCCTCCTGCCTCTCCAGCCCCAATCTCCACAACCCCCAGACACAGCTTTGTTCTAAAATACCCCATCACAGTAAAAAAAATCAACTGTGAGCCAGATGGTAATTCTAGGGGTGAGGCTGTCAGCTTCTCCCCCATCAACCTGCTGCCTGGTTGTTCCTCTGGCCGGCCGGTCCATGTCAGCCATTGCCACCGCCGCCGCCGCCGCCGTCGTCGTCAGCCCGTAATCAGGCACCCCAAGCTTCCAAGGCATACCGGAGCCCTGAAAATGCTGGAAAAGAGCGCCCCAGGGATCTAGAGGGCTATAGGGAGCGGGGGGGCACCTCAAGCCGCCGCCGAACAAACACCGCCCGCCGCCGGATGCCTTGGCCTCCATTTCCCCCGACACCGGAAACAGCTGTTGCAGCCAGGCCCATTGCCCCATCTCCCGCGGAGCCGTCCAGCCCTGCCCTGATGTTCCGGAGGGCGAAAAAGCCCTCAACAGGCAGGGCGGATGCTCCCCTCACTGGGACTGGAGCCGAAGATGGACAAGAGGGCTCCTGAAGACCCTGACAACCGGCAACTCTCCCATCTCCGAAACGGAGCTTATTTGGTCGCCGCCATCTTGGAGCATGCGCAGAAGGGAAGGTCAAAAAGGTTCGCTATCACTGCCCTAGACCTCCTCCTGGGGAGAGTCTCAAGTTCCCCTTTCTCTGACATCTTCTCCAGCCCTTCACAGACAAGACAATCTTGGAAGAGGAGCAGAGAAATTGCTTTAGGTAGTAATTATAATTTCTGCTAAAACTGCTATTTTAATTCTACGGTTGATGAAAGAAAAAAAATACAGTGGCAATTTCTTAATACACGTTAATATTTATTTATTAATTTGGTGTGAAGCACATACGAAAAAAAACCCAAACCAATCCCAAACTGAAATCCCAGAAGCTCTTCTGCTGAACACTTTCTGCAAAGGAGGTTTTATCAGGAAATCAAGAAAGAATTATATAAGAGGGATGAAGATTTCCCTCTTCAGCTGAGAGCCAGTCAAACATGGCATTTCACATCATTCCATCATTCTCACGGAGAGGATCAGGCAACCAGGCTGGTTCCCACAGCTTCCTCCTGACCTCTTTTCCTGCTCACTCTCTCTCCCTCACACTTTTAGCTGTAGGAACAAGTGCCCTAATTATTTTTTATAAGGTGTCACATTCAGAAGCTGTTGCTGAACAGCAAATTTCACTGAATGACTCTTACAGAGTTCTCTTTATTGAGCTGAAAGGGAAGAGAGCTAGAAGAATTCCAGTCATTCAACAATCCCATTTTGAAACATATAGATATGATTTTCTTTTCCTGCATACTATCTAAATGGAAAGAATTAATATCTCCTTTCAAATAAAAGAAACTTTTAACAATTCTTTCAATATCACAATGGTGTTATATCTCATGTTTTTACATTTGTTCTGGCTGTGAGCTGCTCCTTTGTGTTGAGGTCTGGCCTCAGAAGGATAATGTAGCACTTGGGGATGAAGATGCAGCCCAGCAGACCAGCACTGGAGGCCAGGATGGAGAAGACCTGCACAGCCACCATGTATTTCCCTTTGGTGCTCAGGTAGGTGGGCACAAAAGTCACCCAGACACTGCAGAAGACCAGCATGCTGAAGGTGATCAGCTTGGCTTCGTTGAAGGCCCCAGGCAGATTCCTGGCCAGGAAAGCCACCGTGAAGCAGATGGCAGCCAGGAAGCCCATGTAGCTGAGGGTGACGTAGAACATGACAACGGCCCCTTCGTTGCATTGCAGGATGATCTCTCCAGGCTGGGAGTGGAGGTCAGAGTCAGGGAAGGGGGCAGAAACTCCCAGCCAGGTGGAGCAGATGATAATTTGGACAGCAGAAGAAGAAAGGATGATGGAGTTGGCCAAACTCTTCCCCAACCATCTCTTCACTCGGTTTCCTGGTTTTGTGGCCAGGAAAGCCAGCACCACCGTGATGGTTTTGGCCAAGAGAGAAGAAACGGCAACTGAGAAGATGGTGCTGAAAACCATTTGTCGGAGAAGGCAGGTGGCTTTCCTTGGTTGACCAATGAAGAGAGAAGGAGATAAGAAACAAAGCAGGAGGGAGACCAGGAGGATATAGGAGAGGTCCCGGTTGTTGGCTTTGACAATGGGAGTTTCTCGGTATCTAATAAAGATGATTAAAACAAGGCCTGAGTTTAGGAACAAGAGTAGAGCAAAAGAAACCAGGATGATGCCCAGATGTTCTTCATAAGACAGGAAGGTTATAATTTTGGGGATACATTGAACTCGGTCCTTATTTGGGTATTTATAATCTGGGCACTTGGTGCATTTTTCGGTATCTGAGAAAGCAAAAAAAGCAATATTTCTTTAATATTCTGTCCTTTTATCTTACAGAAAATACCTTCTTTGGATAACAGCTGATACCCCAGGCATTTTCCAAGAAGTATTTCTTAATAATTTCATTAAACAGTCACTCCTTTGAAATGGCATAAGGTCTCCTGCTTGAGCAGGGGGTAGGACTAAAAGACCTCTAAGGTCCTTTCCAGCTCTGGTCTGATTATTGATTGATTGATGCACATGACTGGCAGACTATTTGTGTATTGAGTTCCCCCCATAACTATCCACAGCACCACATTATGGACCAGTGACACCTTCTCAGTGATCCTCAAGGGGAGGATCCAATATACAATGGATTGCAAGGTCTTTCAGAATGTGGACCTAAAACAATTCATCAAGTTTCAAAGATCTCATATGTTCCTAGAAAGATAAACTTAGCAGCACATATCCAAACTAAAAAGCAGAAGAGATATTTCCTCTGCTGTTAGTAAAGCTTGCCCAGTCTGCCACCCCCTCCTCCCATCTCTTCCCAGCCCCTCCTTTCAAGTCTTCCTGATTTACTTCCTTTTAGATGAGAAATTGTGCAGGTTAAAAACAACAACAGGTGAGCTTCAATCTGTCTTTTAACTTGCACTTTCATGAAAATCCTCTGGATGGATCCAGTTCCACAAAGCCTCCCATTTTCCTCAGTGTGACCCACCTTCCTGAGTGGAGAAGGTCCCCTCCGGACAAGGAACGCAGTCATAGCAGCAAACTGGCTCTCCTTCTCGAGCCCTCTTGACAAATCCAGGATGGCAACTTTCCACACATTTGGACTGAGGCAGGGACTGAGCAGAAAAACAAGGAATGCCAAAGAAAAGGTGTTAGGACTCTCCGTCCATAGAAAATGGAGGGAGAAATGGATGGAGACAAGTAGCCTCTAGTCTTCACTGAGGCAACTATGAAACCTCTGACTACTTCTAAACAGATGCAGGAGGTATAACAACTGGCAGGTTCTTCCTTTAGTTCCTCCCTTTTGCTTTCAGAATTTAACATTACCATAAAGTACTTTTCTATTTAATGTAGTCTAATGGGATGGAATTGAAAAAAGATTAAAATATGATGATAAATTCTTATTAAAACTGATAATAAAGTTTACTGTAAAAGATTTAGGAAATTTTATTCTATTAGGTTTTTTAATATGAAATTAAACTGCAATGAAGAAAGAAACCTCTGACCAGTAAGATCTTGAAAGGTTTCCATAAAACATGGTAAAGCCCTCCACTTAGGTCCCGTCTGTTAAAGAACTTCCATTAGATGACACCATCTGGCATGGGAGGCCAACCACCCAGGAGACTCTAGGCTTTGCCCACTGGAAATGGGACCTTTGGAAAACAGAGAAAAGACACCAAAGTTTCTCTCACCTTATTGAGCAACTTTAGCCGTGAAAGAGCATCTTGGTTGATAGTAAGTCTCTGTCTTTCAAAATAAGCCAGAGTCTCTTCCGTGATATCCTCCTTGGGGAGAACCAAGAAGCTGTCAATGCTCAGATCTGCTGTTATCTCTCCATTTTGGTCCAAGTACAGTTTTCTTCGAGAAATATTGAAAAACTCATTCTTATTCAGAAAGGGATGAAACTAGAATGGGGACGTCCAGAAATTTGAAAAACAGAGAACTTTTTTTTAAAATTTGATTTATATGCTGCCCTTCTCCGGAGACTCAGGGCGGCTTACAATGCGTTAAGCAACTTTGTTTCTTATCCCACATTGAATCTTTGTTCTACAATTGTCTCATCTCCAAATATGCTTAATTAGGATACAAATACTGCCATCATCTTCATAAGTGAACAAGAAAGTTTGAGAAAAAATTGTCAATCATTTACTGACAAAATATAGAAAAAGTATATAATTGATACAAGTGGTCAAATATAGGGAACATTCTAGAGCAGATGAAAATAAAATGAACAGAGAAAAAAAAGATGATTCATAAACTCTTAGAAACCAACAGGTTGATTCCCAGAAAGCATGGGTTGATCAAGAAGAAAGTTGTCAGGATAATCTTCTCCCTGGTCAGCCTGATGGAAAACACCTCCAGATGTGCTAATTCTACTTGATTGTAATGCGACATTAACAAAATTTTGCAAATCTGAAAGAAGAAATCTCCCACCAACTTTTTTCTCAGCCTGAAAAGTTACCCAGGATCCTTTCTGAGTTTCTTTCTCTCCCATTATGCAGCTGCAGGATTCTCCCCTCTTCTCTGATCCTTCCCTAGGCAGCCTCTCTTCCCCTCATCCCAAAAGTCATTCTCACACATCATTACACTTCCTAAATAGATTATGGGAAGACTGGTGATATCACTGGATTTCAGTAAAGGACTCACAAACAATTGTGTGATGTGATTAGAAACCTGAGGCCTGGATAATAAGTGGATAAAAACTGTCTTCAAAATGATACTGAAATAGTTTTTAACCCTTTTTAATCTTTCCTATGAAACTTGAAGGTGATGAATAACGGGACTAACTGTTGCGTATATGGTGAGGAGAAACAAAGAGAAAAAGGAACAACGAATGTCAACATTGGAGAAGCTGAAAAAATTAGAATTATCACTTCAGAAAGATCCCCAAAACAGGGAAATCAGAAAGGAAATGGAGTTAATGAAACATAAAATTAATATACTACAACAGGAAGAAATGATGAGGAATATAAAATTGGCAAAACAAAACTATTTTGAATCAGCAAATAAACCAGGGAGATGGCTTGCCTACAAAGTGAAAAAAGAAAAAGCTAAAAAATTGGTACAATATTTACAAGACGAGCAAGGAAATTTGCTCCATAGAATTGAGGGGGAAAAAATATTATTCTAAATTATTTTCAAATACTGTATAGTCAAGAAAACATTAAAGAAGAAAACATTATAAATTACCTACAGGAGAGGAACTTGCCAAGTATAACAGATGAAGATAGGGAAATGTTGAATGGGGAAATTACATTAACAGAGTTAAGAGAGGCAATTAAAAAACAGAAAAATAACAAAACACCAGGGACAGATGGAATTCCGGCAGAAGTATATAAAAAATTTCAGGAAGTTTTGGAAGAAATTATGTTGTATATATATATAACAAGGTATTAGAGAAAGCCAAAATGCCAAATTCATGGATGGAGGCATATATAGCATTAATGCCAAAGGAAAGTACAGACAATCAATTCATTCAAAATTATAGGCCAATCTCACTGTTAAATGCTGACTACAAAATCTTGGCAATAATAGCAGAAAGTCTAAAAAAGATATTAAATAAAATAATTCATTCAGATCAAAATGGGTTTTTATCCAAGCAACAAATTAAGAACAATACACGGATTATCATGAATATTCCAGAATACTATGAGGCTCATCCAGAAAAACAATTGGCAGTAATAATGATAGATGCACAAAAGGCATTCGACAACTTGAATTGGCGGTTTTTAATTAATCAATTAATTTGGCAAATTTGGCAAAAAATTTATAGAAATGATGAAGACAATTTATTCTAAGCAAACAGAAAAAATATGGTCAGTGGAGATCTTACAGAAAAAGTCGATATAAACAAAGGGGTTAGACAAGGCTGTCCATTGTCCCCCCTCTTATCCATCCTTTCATTGGAAATATTATTGGCACAGGTAAGGGGAAGTAAGGAAATAAAAGGGTTAAAAATTAAAAGAGGAGAATACAAAACACGGGCCTTTGCAGATGACATGGCATTTATATTAGAGGACCCTTAGGAACCGGGAGAGAAACTCCTACTAGAAATAGAGAAATTGGGAATAGTAGCAGGCCTGAAAATAAATAAAAAGAAAACAAAGATAATTACCAAGAATATCTATAGATATTATTACAGATGCCGGTATCGGAAAGTAGTAAAAATGTAACAAGGATGTTAAAGATATAAATGTTGAATAAAAATTAATTTAAAAAAAAAATGCCATGGTATCTACTCTTTGGAGCCATTATTCTCTGAGTAATTGAATTGGACAGATCTGTTGAGATGGTTCCCTTCCTTCTCCTCTGGATTCCTCCTCCGAAGGATCTAAGATTAATGGATCCATATCGGGACCCCCATACCTGCCACGGCTGCAGCCTTGAAGACCCCAAAGTCTTTTCTCGCTCCTTCTTTCCCCTCCTCCTCAATCTGGAGGAATAAGCGGCATTCAAGGCTTGGGCCAGAGTCTTCATGAGACTGTAATATTCATAGTCATTTCGGACACGGATCCTGTTTCTTTTATTCTGGGTCTCCAGTGGGGCATTCTGGGTGCATCTTCTGCGGCCTTTGACAGAAAAGACGTTCTTTGAAAAAGAACAGCGGAAATAAAGATCTTGAAACTTTTCTTCCAGAAAGAAAAGGGGTTCAAAGGCAGAATCTCTTGGCCTTTTTTTTAACAGATAGCCAAAGTTCCAAATACTATGGATGTATTTGAGAAGTCTACGCTTGTTCATTAGATACCCTGCAAAATTTGTGAGGATCCAGATTTTCCCTTCAATGAGTCCTGGCAGATGCATAAATATTTCATGGAAAGGAAGGATTCTCTTCCAAATTAAATCAAATTCCATGAAGTGAACAAAGACGTTGACTTGTCTCCACTTAGAGAGGGAATCCCTGAGGTATGCTGTATATCCACGTGTTGAGAACAGTTGTGATATAACCACACAAATTCCACTCCTGACAAGCACAGGAGGAAAAATCCTCATGAAATTCTCTCCATTTTCTGTGTCTGAAGCAAAGAGGCCAATCAGGGTCCATCTGAAATGGAGGAGCAGCTGGACAATTGCTGGGTACTGGATCCCTTCTTTGGGGAGCATCCGGTGGAAAAAGGGGAATTGACTTTTATCACTCAGAGCCTCTGAAACAATTTCATCACTGATCTGAAAAAGCAATGAAGAAAAAGCTGTGTGATATTTGGGGTCAGATCAAGTCAAAATATTAGATTTTAATAAATCCAACCTGGTTCTCATGAATGTATTAGAATAGTTTGATAATCAGACATTGTCTAAAATATTAAAAACAGAATATTAGCAAGACTGTATCATAATAATGGAAAACAATAAGCAAATTAAAAAATAATAAAAATGTAAATCATATTACTGTATCACCCCTACAATTGATCACAATTAGATTAACAAGTGCAAATTTATTTATTTATTTATTTATTTATTACATGTATTTATATGCCGCCATTCTCCCGAAGGACTCAGGGCGGCGAACACAAATTAAGAAACAAGTACAATAAAATCATAATTTAATCCAAATAATTAATTAGTAGTAAATAATAAAGCCCGGAATCAGTCTCAGCCTATTTGTTTGAAAAGCCAAGTCTTCAAGTCCCGACGGAAGGAGCGGAGATCAGGAGTCGTCCGGAGCTCAGTAGGTAATTCATTCCAGAGGGTGGGAGCACCCACAGAGAATGCCCTACCCCTGGGCCCAGCAAGGTGACATTGGCTCGCTGTTGGAACCCTGAGGAGAGCGGCCCTATGTGAGCGAACAGGACGGTGAGAGGCAGGCAGGAGAAGGTCATGTAAATATCCCGGACCTAAGTCATGAAGGGCCTTATAGGTGAGGACTAGCACCTTGAAGCGGACCCGGCGAACCACTGGTAACCAGTGCAGCTCACGCAGGAGGGGTGTTATATGGGAGTAATGAGGGGCTCCCGTAACAACCCATGCAGCTGCATTCTGGATCAGCTGGAGTCTCCGGGTGCATCTCAGGGGCAGGCCCATGTAGAGGGAATTGCAGTAATCCAAGCGGGAAGTAACCAGGGCATGAGTGACTGTGCGAAGGTCATCTTGGTCCAGGAAAGAGAGCAACTGGCGCACCAGGCGAACCTGTGCAAAGGCCCCTCTGGTCACGGCTGTTAGATGGTCTTCTAGGGATAGCCGAGCATCCAGGAGGACACCCAAGTTGCGAGTCCTATCAACGGGTGCAAGTTTTTCCCCATCTATCAAAAGTAATGGAGCCTCTGAAGCCCAAGATGCCAGCATCCACAGACACTCAGTCTTGGAGAGATTGAGTTTGAGTCTGTTTCTGCCCATCCAGGCCCGTACCTCCTCCAGGCAATGGGACATCACGGAAAGGGCATCTCTGGGGTGGTCTGGGGTGGAGTTGTATAATTGGGTATCATCAGCATATTGATGATATCTCACCCCAAAGCCACGAATGATCTCACCCAGTGGCTTCATATAGATGTTAAAGAGCAGGGGGGAGAGAACCGACCCCTGAAGCACCCCACAATTAAGGGGCCTCGGGGTGGATCTCTGCCCTCCCGCCCATACAAACTGAAAGCGACCTGAGAGGTAGGAGGAAAACCACCGTAAGACAGTGCCTCCCACCCCTAACCCCACAAGTCGCTGCAGTAGGATACCATGGTCGATGGTATCAAAAGCCGCTGAGGGGTCAAGTAGGACCAGGATGGAGGAACAACCCCCATCCCGAGCCCGCCAGAGATCATTCACCAGAGCGACCAATGCCGTTTCCATGCTGTAATAATAATAATAATAATAATAATAATTTTATTTCTATACCGCCCTTCTCCCGAAGGACTCAGGGCGGTGTACAGCCTATTTAAAAACACAGACAAAACAATGATATAAAATTTAAAATAATTAAATAAGTGGCTCAAATTTAAAACCCCAATAAATTTAAATACCCCAATTTAAAACTATTGTGTTGATAGTCCGGCCTGGCGGAACAACAGGGTCTTCAATGCGCAGCGAAACACCCGGAGGTCGGAGATCTTACGAATTTCCGGGGGCAGTTCATTCCACAGGGCTGGGGCTCCCACAGAGAAGGCCCTCCCCCTGGGCGTCGCCAGCCGACATAACTTGGCTGATGGCACCCTGAGGAGACCCTCTCTGTGGGAACGAACTGGTTGGTGGGAGGCTATTGGTGGCAGAAGACGGTCTCGGAGATACCCGGGTCCTATGCCATGGAGCACTTTACTGTGACTGTGTCGGAAGCCTGATTGGTACGGGTCAAGGTATTCCGTTTCCTCCAGGAATTGTGGGAGCTGTTGAGGCACTATAGTCTCAACAACCTTCGCGATGAAGCGAAGGTTGGAAATGGGACGATAGTTATTAAGTGAGTCTGGATCCAGGGAAGGCTTCATGAGGAGAGGTCAAACCACCGCCTCCTTAAGAGAGACGGGGAAGTTCCCCTCTCTCAACGAAGCGTTGACAATTGCCTGGATCCAGTCTCTAGTCACCTCTCTGGCAGCCGAAACCAACCAGGAGGGACAAGGGTCCAATAAGCAAGTGGAGGAACTAAGTTTGCCCCCAATCCTGTCCACTTCCTTGACAGAAACAGGATCAAACTCAATCCAGATATTATTCTCAAGACCCACCCTAGTCTCCTGATTGGATTCTGCCCAGTCAGAGTCCAATCCGATCCGGACCTGAGTGATTTTATCATGCAGAAACTGTACAAAATCCTCAGCTCTGCTCTGCAAAGGGTCTTCCCTCACTCCCTGATTGAGGAGGGAGCGAGTCACATGAAACAGGGCCACTGGGCGGTTTTCTGCAGATGCAATGAGGGTGGCAAAGTAGTGATGTTTTGCTGCTTCCATCGCCACTAGATAAGACCTAATATGGGTTCTTAACTGTGTTCGGTCAGATTCAGATCGGGAGGACCTCCAACTCTCCTCTAAGCGTCTTTTCCGACATTTCATTTCCCGGAGCTCCATGGAAAACCAAGGAGCAATCCGGGATCTGCGTCGGGTTAGAGGCCGCAAAGGTGCGATTCTGTCCAAGGCGTTGGTAGCCACCTGTTCCCAGGATGCCACCAGAGCCTCAGCTGAATCGCAGGATTGAGAGGTGGGGAATGTCCCAAGCTCCTTCAAGAACCTTTCTGGGTCCATCAGGCGCCTAGGGTGGAACCATTTTATGGGTCCTGTCTCCCAGCGGCCGGGGTTGACAGACTGAAAGTCTAGTCTAAGGAGGGAATGGTCAGTCCATGACAGGGGAGTGATGGAAAGTTCCCCCTTACCATGACCATTTATCCACTGCCCAGAGAGAAAAACCAGGTCGAGTGTGTGTCCTCCCCTATGAGTTGGGCCCTGAATAACCCGAGTCAGGTCCATGGCTGCCATGGAGGCCATGAACTCCCGGACTGTCTCAGATGACTCACTAATTGAAGGCAGATTAAAATCTCCCACAACTAAAAGGTTGGGGAGTTCAAGTGCCACCTCAGACAAGACATTGAGCAGTGCGGGCAGGGCTGTGGCAACATAGCTGGGAGATAGGTATGTGACCAACAAGCCCGACTGAACTCCAGGGTCCCACTTCAATAGAAGAGACTCACACCCGCCTATCTGAGGGACAGTGACCTCCCTAGGACTCAGACTTTCTCTAACAACTACTGCCACCCCCTCCCCTTCCCTGGTGTCGCAGCTGGTGCAGGACACGAAAGCCTGAGGGGCATAAATCAGAGAGAGGGATTCCCCCCACTTGCCCCAGCCAGGTTTCCGTGATACAGGCCAGGTCCGCACCCTCCTCATCAATAAAATCTCGTATGAGGAGAGCCTTATTCATCACGGACCTGGCATTCACATATATCAGACGGAAACCAGGGTCCTTCGCTCACATATCCCCAGGAAAGCAGGGTGAGCAGGAGGTATGGGAGCAAGTCACCATCCGAATGCATCTGGTGTGATGCTCCCCACCCCTACTTCGATTTCTTCTGCCCCTTCCCACCATCACAGGTATAGCTTGTCCCACCCTTCTCCGAGCATCTCCTACGACTCCCAACCTCCCCAACCCGCTGGGACTGTCAAAATGGCATGGCTGCTGATCCTTAAGACCCCCCCCAATCTAATTTTTATTATTAAAAACCACCCTCCTCCCGGAACCCCTTAAAATTAGATCTAAAAATCTATTTAAAAAACCCAGAGTTTCCGTTTTTTAGCGTACCACCTCTCGGGGTTCCAAAACCCATCATCAAGAGCAGCCTTCGATAGTTGAAAGGGCCAAACCTCCGAGAGGGGGGAGTCTCGCAGTGCAAGGAGCTCCGTAGTTGAATACATTAAAGAATAGTAATGAGCTGAGAGTGATGAAGGATCATTTTCTATTAAACGGTGTTAGAGATGGTAAAAACAGGTAGATTAAATAAGGGAGGAAAAGATGTTAAAGAGAAGACAATATGCTAAAAACATCAGAACATCGGGACATCATCGTCCTATCATGACAATGGTAATGTCAGGTATGCTTCCTTCAGTATCCAGGAAAGAAAACCCCAAACTCAAGCATTTTGAAGAATTTGGTACTTTTACTGAATATGAAAAGATTAACATCCCAGTGAAAAGCTGGAAGTGATCAAAACGCGCGAAATGCATCTACTAAGCTTCTTCCCCCCCTCGTGTTTATAGTTTCTCAGCCAATCTAAAGGTCTTCCAAAGGTCAGGTGGCAACACGTCTGGCAGCGTCATCCATCAGGAATGTCAGGACAGTTGGTCGGCCATCCCCTTCTGAAATGTAGTTTCGATTTCCCCGAAGTACCCTCCTACAAAGACAAACCCCCTCCTGCTCTCTTCCCCCCCTCTGCTCCATACCTAATCCCTCCCCGTTTCTTATGGCAGCTAAAGCAGGAAAGCTGATGCTGACATTCGGCCCCTCTTGCAGAAGAGACGTTAGTCCTAATTAAAAGGAAAAAGAGAAAGAGAAACAGAATATATACAATGATCAAGGTTTATCAGGGTATTTGGCATAGAACTGTTGAACTTTCTTGGGAGCTCGGACATCCCGTTTATTTACCCATTCAGCCTGAGATAGTGGAAAATGTTTCCAGGCAATCAGATATTGGATTTTACCATGGTGTTTTCTAGAGTCCAAGATTTCCTTAACCTCAAAATGTTGCTCCCCTTCTACTAGGATGGGAA